AAATGAAACACACTTACTCCAGATGTTGCACACACCTCAGCAGGTAGGTGTGTCCTCAATGGTCACTCCAGATGTTAAATGAAACACACCTACTCCAGATGTTGCACACACCTCAGCAGGTGGAGGTGTCCTCAGTGGACACTCCAGCTGTTGCACACACCTCAGCAGGTAGAGGTGTCCTCAGTGGACACTCCAGATGTTAAATGAAACACACTTACTCCAGCTGTTGCACACACCTCAGCAGGTGTGGTGCTCTGGAGTCATGAACATGTGAGAATTATGCAACGGGACACCTCGGTGATTTTCCTCGATGTGTGGAGGTTTAAAGTTTCTCACCGTTGTTCGTGACCGTGTTCAGTCATTTGACCGTTGAGGTTTGTCCGTGACTTTAAGGTACATCTTGTAAGAATGATCGTTTATTTGTGCAGTTCTAAATGTGTGTGTACAGAAGGGAACAGAAGCTTTTCAACGATGAATGAACGAGTGGTTGAATAGATGAGTCGATTCTAGGACACGTCATGAGTTTTTAAATTCCACGTCAACTACCGTAGTTGCAGTCACGTGATTGTGTCACTGGGCGCTGGCCAGAGTTTTCCTTTCTAACCCAGCCCACGCCCGACCTGACATGTAAATTCGGGCCGGGCCAAAATAATGGTCTGAATGGGCGTGCTGGGTCGGCGTGGGGATTTTGATTGCGTGCGCAGCTGACGAGCCAATTTGGATCAGCAGCCGCGCACGGCTGTTTGAAACAAGTAAAGTCCAGATGGCTCCCTGCCAGCGCCCCACCTGAAGCTTCACTGGACTGGACCCAGCTGCCGGGTCAGCGGACAGTGGTGGATTCCACCTGCACCCCCGTTTCTAGTTTTATTTTATTGAATCAACGGTGGTGGAATAACCCCCCCCCCCCCCCCGTTTTTAGTTTGGGGGTTTTATGTGCCGCACATTTCTTTCACCTTTGCAGCTTATTAATAGTTTTGGTTTTCCTGTCACTTGTTTGTAGTATGATAAATAGTAGGAGCATACACTCCCTGTGTTTTGTTCTTCTTCTTTATAGTAATAAATGATGTTTTTGTGAATATGATAAAGCATCTTGAGTTCTTTCGACGTCACAGCAACTAGTTGACTGGATTTTTATCATGTTGAAGTCGACTGTAAAACATATGACGTTGTGCTACTCCCAGTATGAACATCCAAATCAGCAACAAATTTAGGAAATTGTTTCAATCTTACCTGCAAACTTGTCACTTTTTGACAGATTTCAAACTCCAATATATAATTTACTTGAATCATGTAGATCCCAAGAGGTTTTTTGGGGGGTGTCTCAGAAGTGTGGTGGATGACACAAGTTCCCTTTAAGAAACAGCAGCGCGCTCATGTCTTTGGGGGGGGGGGGGCGACGGGCCGGGGGGGGGAGGGGGAGACACCTGGGTGTTGCGCGCTAGCTTAACACTGCATCAGTAATAGTGACGGTGTCGTGCCAAAAAGTGATGGTCCACCAAAAATTGATCAGCGCCGCAGGAGCGTGCACAGCCTGTCGGTGTGTTTTCATGGGACTCGCCGTTTCAATTCTTTGAGATTTAACAAGATTAACACATAAAGGAGGTGGAACACCTGGAGAGCTGGTGCAGGAAGAACAACCTCCACATCAGTGTGAAGAACATGAAGGACATGGACGTGGATTTCAGAAAGAGCAAACACACCTACCCCCCCCCCCCCCCCCC